GTGTATGGATCTTCATGTCTGCACTGGGTTTGTTATGAAGTTCTGATGTCGTCCTGGTTGGCATACTGCCCACTCTTCTCATTAGAGGCTTTGCACTCATTCTGTCGGTCCCTTGCACTTGAGTGGAAGGAGGCTCAGACAGCATTGCAGGTTTTCCTGGGGGCGGATTTGAACATCTCGATGCATGTTTGTTCATCCCTGCCCTTCCGTGGGATGTTGGTATGATGCAGCTTCATGTGCAGGTTCCTTTCGGCTGCCTTGGTCGCGGAGGATTTGCGTACATGTGGCCTGCTGGCATTGGCCCTTCATTTCTTCTCCTTCCTCGAGCTGTCCTCGGATTGGCTTGAGTTGGATGTGGAGGAGCTTGGGGCCGCCTCTGAGTCTGGTACGTTGCCCTTGGCGGTGCATGCATCGTCTGCATTGTTGCAGCTGTTCACGCCACTCCTGTGGGATGTGGTTTTGTGGTTTTTTGTCTCATGGTCCCCGGTAGGCAAGAACTCCATGAACATTGACTGATGCCAGAAAGCTAATATAGCCTCTGGGACTCGCTCAGAAAATGGTGCTGCATTACATTCAACATTGGTTTTTCTGCGAACGCTTGATTTTCGGCTCACCACCAGAATGCCATAATAAATGTGTTGCATTACAGAGGTTAATCAGTGTGATAGCTTCAGGGAACCTCTGGAGCTCGCCGAGAAACTGACATTTCATTACATTCAATGATGTTTTCTGTGGGGGAGCCCCTACGGCTCCCTGGAGCTTATCGGGCTAATGTATGTTATATTAGACCGGGACATTAGCTAAGGAGTTCAGACCTACCAGGGACCAGCGCCAGAACCTGGCCCCTTCAGAGAGATTTTAGCGAGCAATGGCCCTGGAAAACCCCTTGTGGTTGGGGTTTTCCTTATCTACCATCGACCGGGGTTAGGCACCCAGAGAGGTAGGCATAACAAAACAAACCCCACGTGGTAAAAAACTAAAACTAAAAACCGAACAGAGAGGTAGAAACTCCCTACAATCCAAAGGAAACAAGCAAACAGGCAAACATCTCACCGCGCCAGCTGCCTAGCATCAGTTCGTAAGCTAATGTCAACCGGGATAGACGCTTCTCTGGCCTCAGTTTCCTAGGCAGTGTTTGCCTTGTGTGGCATTCACTGCCGTGTATTGTGCGGTAGCCAGGAGTACCTCATCAGTGCCAGGGCTGCATGCGCTTAGGGGCTTCCTTCCTTGAGCGCCCTGTGAGTACTGCCCCTGCGTGAAAGGGTTATCTTCACTGGGGCGTTCGGGAACCATTCCCGTAGAGGTTCTTGCTGCTCGGCATTTGCCTCGCCCTTGGGGCCAGCTGGGGCTTGGGGCCCTTGTTTGGCCCTGGGTAGGGACTGGTATTGTGCTGGTTAGGGCATCAAGGTGTTGCGCGACTTGCCACCTAAGCGGCGACCAGTTCCTGTTGCCTCTGGAGACAGTGTACTTTTGAGGGGTTTTTCTTTTGTTTTATTTTCATTTGCCTGGTGGAGGTCTGCCTAGTGTGGCTATAGTTCCACTGGTAGTGTTTGGTGGCCCTCTGCTAGGCTCCCGTGATTGTACACGTCGCAGGGGTTTTCAGTGTTGTCCTCTACCCCCTTGTTATTTTTGGGTGTTTAACCGGTTAGCAACAACTTGCCCGGGCTTCCCGTAGTTGTTACCCGTACGGGCCCTGGAAACCCATGTCGGGGCTCAGTGGGCCATTGAATGTGTCTTCCGGGTTCCAACCCGTCTTGTACGGGATCGTTGGTTGCTGTGCCCTTGTCTCCAGGTGACAGTCGCCACTTTTACCTCCGTCATGCTGCCTGTTGGGTCATTGACACCTTGACCCGGAGTCTTGCGAGAAATATTCTCTGCTTGTTCCCCATTACTCTCCTGATGTTATTACTGTTCAGAGTACAGGCGGCATCCGTGTTGTAAGATAGGTTAGGTTGCTGCAACATGCTAGGTTGGTTTCCCACTTGGATGCCCCGGGGCGGCCCCATTTTGGTTAGGTGTTGTTCGCCCCTTTCCCTCCCTGTTCCCGACTCCTGACCGTCTGCGGGTTTCGGGCTCGGGGCGGGGTTTAGTTGGGGCCGAGACTCGGGCGGTTTTTGGGGGCTGCCCCGTTCGGGTTGGGGACGGAGGTTTTTGAGCCTGTTCATCCTGCCAAGGCTTCTGGGTCTTACCAGCGGCCCTTTCTTGCTGCCTTTCCCATGGACTCTTCCTTTTCTTTAAGGGCGGAGGACTTGGAGGATGGCTCAGCCCCGGGACCTCTGTTGCAGGTTCCTGGGGCTGTGGGGAATGCCTGCTAGCAGTTCTGGGGCAGTTTGCCCCTGCCTGGGATTTCTGCTTCTGGGCGGAGTTTTTCGCCCATCCAGTCTGCTTGCTTCCCACTTTTGCTGGTGTGTTTTCGTATCTTTTTCGTCGGTCACAGCCCTCTGTTCTTGTAGCCATTTTTCTTTTGCCGGTTTCCCGGCGTGGCCACCAGGGCGGCGTTGCGGTTTGTTTATATACACCTGGGTGTGCGAGTGAGCGTCTTGGGTGAGTTTCTTCACCTTTTTCAGGGGTTTTATTCTCCTGTTGTCGTTTCTCTGATTTTCTGGTGTTTTCTGTCCGTTTTCTGTTCCTCTGGGAACATTTGAGTGTTGATTTTACACCGGGTTTTCCGTTTTGTCTGTTTTGGGTCTGGGCTCTAGGGTTTGGGCTCAGTGTCCCTGTCTGTTATGCTTCCTCCCACGCCTTGTCCCTTAGTTTTTGGTCTGTTTTGACCATTTCCCTGGGGGTTCTGTCTGGGGGCTGTGCTTTGCCTTTCTGTGGTGTATCTCCGCCGGCAGATGTAGTGCTTTGGGCTCCCCTGGTTCAATTTCGGGTTCCTTTGGGTTCTTTGGTTTCGTTCCGGAGGTTTTCTTCCTCTTGGGCCCCCTTTGTGGGTTCAGGGGGGCTTTGTTTCCTCGTGTGTGACCCTGTTCTGCCTTCTGGGGTTCCGGGATTTTCCTGGCTTGCAGACTGATCTTTTTGGGTCTTGGCACGTGTTGTGGTCGTGCTTGGACTTTAGGGTTTTGTTGTTGAAGTGGGCCTTTTGATGCAGTTTTGTGCCTTCTTCGCCTGGCCGGTGTGGTGCTCTCTGCCCACTGGTTGGTGGCTTGTAATTTTCTTTACACGCGTATGTGTGTGTACACATGTACATGTACAAGTGTATGCTGTGTGTATGTGTGTACATGTGTATGTGCATACACATGTTTGCAGCACACCTTGTGTGTGCATGTATTTATATATGTGTGTGTATATGTATATATATATATATGTATACATATATTATTAAATATGACCGAAAAAGTAAGATTAATAATTCTAACACGAATTTTCTCTATCTTTCTTACGTTTCTTTTCACTGTTGATGGTAATTCAACGATCAATTCTCCAAAATTCATTTTTATTTCTAGTCTAGAAATTTCTAGACTAGAAATCCCACCTGCGAGCTTCGTCTTGGTGACAGTATGACGTTCCTGGTGTTTCTTTGCTCCTTTTTTCTTGCTCTTCGTAGGTTGTCTTCTGTTTCGCGTTGGGTTGTCTTGTCCTTTCTTGGGTTTTCAGGACTGCAGTTATTTGATGTTTCTTACTGTCGCCTCATTTTGTGTGGCGCTGGCGGAGCCGCTCCGGCTTGCGTTCGGGGTGGACGTCACATCTGCCTCGTTCCGTACGCTTTCTCGTGTTTTGTTTCACCTCTGGCCTGCTCATGCGTCGCCTGAGCCGTCCTGGTCCTTGATCAGGGTGCCCTCTTATCTTCTCCTCAGTTTGTGGTAACCCCTTCGGTTCAGGTTTCTGCTCTTTGGTACTGGTGGTAGGTTTGTACGTTTGCAGCCTTTCTCCATCCTTCTAGCGACGGTTGAGACGGCTGCTTTCCGGGGATGGGGGGGTCCTTGGGTTATTGATGCTTGATTGGTTTCGGCCGGGGGTGTGTCCTGTGTTGTCCGGTTGCGCCTTTTGCCGTTATCTGTGTACCGTGTCTGGGGATGCGCTTTGGGTTGTTCTGGTTCCCCTCGTTCCCTGTTTCAGGGCTCAGGTCTCCCAGGTCGTCCGCAGAGTTTTTAAGTCTTTCGGCCTGCGGTCTGTCCTTGGACTTGTGCTGTTCGGACGTTTGCAGTTTTTGCTGCTGTGTTGGTGACATCTAGGGCTCATTTCAGGCACAGGGATTTGAGGGTCACACAGGTTCTTGGCTGCCCCATTCTTTATGCACGTCTGCTCCTGTGCGTTCTTGTTGCCTTGGGTCGCAGGTTGCAGCCTGTTGTCTTGGCTTTGCGTTGTGGCGTTTGTGGCGGCTGCCTCCCGGGTCAGCCCTTTCTTTTCCTTCTCTTTGGGTATGAAGCTCCAGGGAGCCGTAGGGGCTCCCCACAGAAAACAAGCGTTGAATGTAATGAAACGCCATTTTCTGGGTGAGCCCCGGAGGCTCCCTGTCAACCCTCCCTCCCACCGGTCTGTGTTTTTTTCGCATTGGTTGAAGCTTAGCTTCCGAACTGATGCTAGGCAGCCGGCGCGGTGAGGTCTGGGGCTCCCCCCCCTCCCCCTCTCGGGGTGGGAAGGGCTGCGCGGACAATCGGCACGGCAGTAAAGTGTGATATTTGCTTGTTTGCTTGTTTCCTTGGGATTGTAGGGAGTTTCTACCTCTCTGTTTGGTTTTTTGTTTTAATTTTTTATGATGTGGGGTTTGTTTTGTTATGCCTACCTTTCTGGGTACCTAACCCCGGTCGATGGCAGATAAGGAAAAACCACAAGGGGTTTTCCAGGGCCATTGCTCCCTGAAACCTCTCTGAAGGGGCCAAGTTCTGGCGCTGGTCCCTGGTAGGTCTGAACTCCTTAGCTAATGTAAGTCTTAGTCTAATATAGTCTAGTCTAATATAACATACATTAGCCCGATAAGCTCCAGGGAGCCTCTGGGGCTCACCCAGAAAATGGAGTTTCATTACATTCACCGCTTTTTTTTTTTTTTTTTTTTGCAGTGCCCCATCTCTGTATGGAGATAATGTTATGTTTGAAGAAGTCAAGTCTGAGAGAGTAGCATCTTCAAACCCTACAAAAGGTATGTTTCATAAATTTGTTTTAAATAAAATGTTTCTCATATTTTTTGTGGGATATTGATTGTTTCTTAATTGTTCTTTTTATAATTTTAAATTGACTAAAAAATAATATATCAATATAGATGAAGCTTTTTTTCTTTGCGAGCTGGTCACACAGTCCCTCCCTTAGTCAGTATCAACAAGCCATATGAGAAGGACAGTAAACACTTGAGAATTCTCAATTCAGCCCTTCTAAGACCATCAGGAGGTACATTGCTATGTACTCAAAAGCCCTTCAAACAATAATTGAAATGACAGTACAATCAGGACAAATGAAGGACATGTGAACAATTGATTGTCCATCAAAGAAAGCAGCCTTTCGTCTACTATGAATGACTTAATTTTAATATTGGCCTCTGAGTTATTCCCTTTAGCCAAAAGTGAATGCAACCATAAAGTGAAATAAAAATAGTAAAGAGAGGGAAAAGCTGACATGTGCCACAGCAGGATTCCATGTGCCAAGGTATTGATGGGTAATGTAATCTTGAAAAAACATACATCCTAGGCCTGACCCTCATCAACGAGGAGACTAGAGACATCCTAAAATCATAGACGAATGACAGACATTGAATGTAGGGATAGTTGACTTTGTTATGTGTGAGGTTTGTTTTCCAAAACCACCAAGCACGTATAACTGAACATGTCATATCAAAGAAAAATACTGAAAGTGTTGCAGGCTATTGTTGGTCATAGTTGTGTAGGCAGGCTTTGAAAAAAAGTACTTAGTCTGTGGGTTGATGAAAATGCATTACAAATGGGAAATGCTGAGACACCTGAAGATACATCCCCAAGAACAGCCAGCCACTGGGCACAAATCATGAAGGACAGATGACTACACAGATTAGGCCCACATTAGAATAGGGCCCTGCCAGAAAGAAGACATCTCATTGTTTGCCTGGAAGGCAGGAATCAGGATGGGTGCAAAAGAAAAAACAAAAAACAGCGATGAATGTAATGAAACATTATTTTCTGGGTGAGACCCGGAGGCTCCCCGGAACTTATCCAGGCTGATATGCTAATGTCAGACTTTGGCATCAGTCATGTGTATGGAGTTTTATGGGCCTACCGGGGACCACGGCCAGAACCTGGCCTCCTCAGAGAGGTAAGGGGAGCAATGGCCTATAGAAACCCCCGCGTGGTTGGAAGCATTCTATGTCTGCCATCGACCGGGTCAGGCACCCAGAAAGGTAAGGATCCCAAAACAAACCCCCTATTCTGGTGAAAAGTGCTACCAAAAGCCGAACTGGTGGATAGAACTCCCCTAAAAGAAACGAGCAAACGATTATGACCTCACACGTCACCGCGTCGCTGTCTGCGCAGTTCCTCCCTCCCTGGGAGGGGGAAGGGGGAGCCCCAGACCTACTGTGTCAGCTATCCACCATCAGTTCTAAAGCTGGATGTCAAAAAATGCGAAAAAACGCCAACCGAGAGGGAGGGAGGGAGGGATGCCTTGGAGCCTCCGGGTCTCACCCAGACAATGGCGTTTCATTACATTCAACGCTAGTTTTCTGGGGGAAGCCCCTTTGGCTTCCCGGAGCTAACTACCCACAGAGAAAAAAAGAGGGACATACCCGGGAGGCGGACGCCACACACTCACCAACTCAAAGTCGAGACAACTGGCTTCAACCACCAACCCAAGGTGACACAGGCCTGAATGGGCTTGGGAACGACACGAGATATCGAACAGCCAGGCCCCTTTACGACCGCCAAAAGCCCCATGCCTGAATGTCGGCTAGGACCTGCCGCCAAGACGGCAGCAAGAGCGGCGAATCCACGAACACCATGGGCACGGGGATAGAACACAGGCTGGCTAGCCGTAATAACACGGCGCATGACCCGGGAGACCTTCACCCGCGAACAGGGAAGAACAGGACCGGATCAACCTAAAGCTCGTCCCGGACACAGACGCCATGGCGCACAAATAACATCAGAGGGCCGTAACCGAACACAAAACACGATGCAACCCCGGCCTGACCAACCAAGCACCAACAACCAAGGACCCCTCTGGAAATCAGCAGCCTCATTCAATGCCAGAAAAGAGGGAGACGGCTGCAACCAACTAACCAATCACCACGACCGAAGGAGCAGAAACCCCTGCGCCGAAGAAGAGCAAGAAGCTCAATGACTCGACCCCTAGAGGCAAATTCCAACAGGAAAAGAACCTTCGAGAAACAAACCCGAACTGAAGGGGTCACAATCAACTGAGGAGAAGAAAGAGCACGCTGTCCAGAGACCAGGACGGCTCAAGTGGCGCATGAGCATGCCAGAGGTGAAACAACACATGAGACAACTTAAAAATGGCGCAGATGTAACACCAAGACCGAAAGTAAGCCGAAGCGGCTCCATCAGCGCTGCACGAAACGATGCGACAGTATGAGGCAAGATGACGGCCCCGAACCCCCACCAGAAAAGCCAAGCCGATGCCAACAAACGCATCCACCTAAGAAGGGACAGAAGAAAAAGGAAGGACCACCGAAATATCCCATACTGCCGCCAAGAAGAAGCACGCAGGTGGGACGCCCTGCCTAGAGGGTAAAAAAAACCCCACGGGGTCCAATGGGGCCCGAGGGCCCCTGAAGTCAGCCCCTCCCTAGCCACAGAACCCACACAGCAGGCCCCGGGGCCGGGCCATCCCCCTAAAGCCCCGGCCTCACAAGAAAAAACTGGGGCAGCCGCGAAAATACTAAGGAAAGGAGCCCACTGGCAGACTCTTACAACACTGCTGGAGGAACAGGCTTGAATGCCCCCGTCGCTACCCCGGAAGGGGAATTCCCCGAGATCGCCCGAGTCTCAAAACCAACGACTCCGCCCCGACCCCGAACCCACAGACGGTAAGGATCCGGATGCAGGTAGGAAGGGGAGGGGGGGACCAGATTAGACCACAACAGGGGAAAGACAAGGGGGCGTGGAAGGAACCGAAGCAACCAACACTCCCAAGCCCCAACACCAACCAAAACGGGGTAGCCTCGGGGCTTCCGGGGAGCAAACATCCAAGAGCGTTGCCACCATCGAAGCTCGACGTGCAACGCCCGTGTTGCCTTCACCCGCATAGTCAGCATAAGACTGAGTAACTTGAGTCACAACAAGCAACAAAACTCGCAGGACTCTGGGCCAAAGGTGTCACTAACTCCACAGGCAGCAGACGGAGGCAAAAACAGAGTGTGTCATCCTGAGACAAGGGGTGAGAGCAACCCTTAAATATGCTGGAAGCAATGGGGAACTCTGGGGGCACATCCATCGGACCCGCGTGCTCCCAGGGGTTTCCCAGGGGTTTCCCAGGGTCCTAAGCATTTACTATAATAGGACTCGCGCTCAGGTAATCCCAGGCAGAGTACTGCTAATTGGAGCCGAAATTTACCAAACAACCTTCTAAAAACTGAACCCCCGGGGCATGTAGACTCAGGGGACCTAGCAGGGAGAACCACCGGAAGAAGGAAGAATACTCAGTACACTGGGGACACAGGGGGGCAAGAACGAAGGCAGACCCCCACCAGGCAGATAAACAAAAAGAAAAAGAAAACCCTGCAAGAGGACAGCGTACCCAGGCGGAACAGAGCCGGCCGCCATGATTGGTGAAAACAAGCTGCACAATACCCTGTGCCCCACCAGTGCAAAACTGCCCCTTATCCTAAGGCAAACAAGGGAGACAGAACACCCGAGCACACAAAGGGCGGCCGAAAACCAAGCAGTAAATGGCCTAGCAGGAGCAGAACCCAAGGAACTTGTGGAAGGTGGCCCCAAGCCCCAAGGGCAGTACTTACAGGGCACCTAGGGAAGAAAACCCTAGGCACATGCAGCCCGAGTACTGGAGAAACACTCCCGGCTCACGCACCACCTAGAAGACAGTCACCACACTCTTGGTAGAGTGCTGAAACAGTCACTGGAACCGGAGCACAGGACCTCAGCCTCTAGCATCAGCCGAAGAATTGATGGTGGATAGCCGGCGCGGTAGGTCTGGGGCTCCCCCTTTCCCCTCCTGGGGAGAGGGGAGCTGCGCAGACAGGGGCACGGTGACGTGTGACGTCATGATCGTTTGCTCGTTTCTTTTAGGGGAAATTCTATCCACCTGTTCGGCTTGTGGTAGCAATTTTCACCAGATTAAGGGTTTGTTTTGGGATGTTTACCTTTCTGGGTGCCTGACTCGGTCGATGGCAGACATAGAATGCTTCAAACCACACAGGGGGTTTCTATAGGCCATTGCTCCCCATGCCTCTCTGAGAGGCCAGGTTCTGGCTTGTGGTCCCCCAGTAGACCCATAGAACTCCATATACATGACTGATGCCAAATTCTGACATTAGCATATCAGCCTGGATAATCTCTGGGGAGCTGAAGGGGCTCCCTCCAGAAAATAGGTGTCATCACACCCATTCCTAACACATTCTGGATGAAACAGTAGAACATTAGGCTCTAGCAGCCAGTACCATAGTAACACAGTTTCCAATGGCAGATCCTGAAAGAACTTTGTACAATGTTGTGGCCTGTGCATTCTTGCCTGTGTGCTTGCATGTATTCTGATTCTTATTCGCAATGGCTGTATGACTTGCAACTCACTGCTGAAATTAACAGTGGAATGGACAACAAAACAAAATTGCCATAATAAAAATTATGCGAGTGTGAAGATTGCAGGATCTACCTTTTTTCAGGGGAACTCTTCTCTGAACTCTCTTCTTGTCTGAGCACTCACTCACTGCCCTTCACTACCATCTTCTATAGCATAGCCTTCTTCAAAATATTCTTTACATTATTTCTGTATTGTTTTAATAAGAGTTAGCAGTCTGCCCCGGAATATCTGTCTCGGGTGACATGTGGCCCACGTACACACAGTTAGTCCAACCTGATCTGGGTCACTCACTATCTTAGGTTCTAATTTTGTATGCAACAGTTATATTAGTACAATATATAGAGCCAGTCATCCTCTTACAGAATCTGAATCTGTGCTGATGTCACTAACTCATGACCATCAGACAGCATTTGGGCTTCAGTTTGATGACCCAATGTGGAGGCGCTACCTGTTATCACTCAAGCCTCTTGGCCTGAACATATTGCTGAACACCTGCAACCCTGCCACTCAGAATCACTACACACAGTTTTGTGCACATATAACATGTGAGGCAATGTATAATGAAGATCTTGTGCCAGTCTCACAAAGGAGGTAAGACTTTTGAACATTTCAAGTTTGTTTCATTATTAATTCATAAACAAACAAAAATATTATGTTTTATATGCTTGTAGTTTATTACTCTAAAACTTGATTAAAGACTAAAATATGATTTATATTTTTCTGTAGTAAAGTTCTGTTTTTCTGTGGTGAGCCCCGGAGGGACCCTGGAGCTCTCTGAACTGATATGTGCTATATTAGTTTGGGGTCATCAGTCATAGGAGCCCTTATGCCTACCGGAGACCAAGAGCCAGAACCTGGACCCCTCAGAGAGATGCAGGAAGCAATGGCTTATGAGCACTTTACATTTAAAGTACTGTATGTCATAATTGTCATCGACTGGGGAAGGACCTAGAAAGGTAGGTGAATCAAAACAGACCACTGTCTGGTAACACTATGCAATGTACAGTGCATCCTAAAAGATCAAAAATATCTCCCCCTAGAAAGAAAACAAACAAACAAACAAGCAACACTTCATGCAACTAGCCCTCCCGCTTGTAAGCGCTACCCCAACCCGAAGGGGTTTGGGGAAGCCCGCTCAGGCGAGCCGGCAGTTCTTGAACTGATGTGCTGGTGATCAGATCGTCACCTCTGGCCTAGTATTCCTGTTCTGGATTTTCACCCTGTGTGGCTTTTCCAGCTGTGTGTTGGTGTGGTGGCCAGGTGTCTTAGTGTACAGGAGCAGCAAGTGCCTAGCATGACCTTCAATAGGTGTTCAGTTAATACTGCCCTTGCATGCCAGGATTATCTTCCCTGGGGCATTCAGAAATCACTCCCTGTTGAAGACTTCGTTGTTCAAGGTTGTCTTTGTCCTTGGGGTGTGTCAGGGGTCTTGGGCTTTTCGTCTTGCCCTGGGTAGAGAAGTGTTATTGGCTGGGAGGGGCGCACTGCTTCTGGCATAGCTAGCTTTACTTCAACTCCACGGCCGATGTTTCTCTCTGACTGTCAGTTTGTCTGTTGTGTTTCTTCATGAATTTTGTTTTAATTTTCTGGCATGGTTTGCCTTTTCTGGACAGAGGAGGTTTGCCTAGCTTCTTATTAGGATAGCCTAGGTTGTGTTGGTGGTTCTCCTCTGTTGCATCTGAGATTTTACAGCTGCTACTGGTGGTCAGTTTGCCTGCTAATAGACAGGGTTCTACTGACTTTACTGTCCCTGGTGCTTGGGCTTCCAGTAGGGCTTATTCACTCTGCAGGCCCTGAAAAACCCCTGTGGGCTCGGTACCATAGTTACATCTTCCAAGTCCACTCTCTCCCTATGTGAAGTTGAAGGTTGTTTGTCGCCTCTGCCTTGGGGAGACGATCATCTATCGTGATGCCTCCATCGTGATGCCTGTCGGGTCGGGAAACACCTACAACCTAGAGTCTTGCAGGACTTGTTCCCCGCTTGTACTTCAAATTTTTTATCCTTTATCTGGTATCTCAGGGATCTGGGGGCGGCCTCGTTGCATGCTCGATTCTAATGTGTGAATGTAGTGTTGGGGTTTAGACAGGATGAGGCTCAGGTGACTTCGTGGGCTGCCCTTTCTGATTCGGGCATAGATATGGTTGAGTCCGGTTTTCCCGCAGGGGCTTCTAGGTCAATCCAGCAGACACCCTTCTTCGAGGCCTTTCCCTTGGAATCCACTTTTTCTTCAGGGATGGTGGGCATAGATGAGGGCTCCACATTGGGCCTTTGTTGGGGGGGGTTCCTGGGGCTTGGGGGCAGTCTGCATGGAGCTTTTGCTTCTTTTGCCCATGCTTGGGCCCTTGTGCTCTCTGCGGAAAGGTTGTTGCCGCAGGGGAGGAGGTTTTCGTACCCTCCTTCCCTTCATGAATTCGTATTACCATATTTGCCAGCATGATTTACGCACCCTTGAACCAGACACATACATCTTTTCCTTGGATTTTTTTTTAGGGGAGGGGGGGGGGGAAATTACCACTATTTTCAAGTGTTTCGTCTTCCATGTATTGCCCTGTTATTTTAATGTGGTTTTGGTACCCCTTACTCTTAACGCCTCTCGGATCAGGAGTTGTTTAATTTTTGGGCAAGTGTATTGCTGTACAATTTGTGAACCTTGTGTTTCAGGTTGTGGTGTTTTGTGTTGCCATGGCTAGCCACCAGGGCGGTGCACCAGGTCATGATGCATCATCACACAGCTGGGGTTTGTTGTCATCCACTCCCTGCAAATGTCTGCTGGGCAGTTGAAAGTTTATTATTCCTTTCCTGTTTCTTGGGCCATTATTCCTTTCAGTAATGATCCATTGTTCTTACTGGGAATTTAGTTGTTACCTAATGTATGACATGTCTCAGGTGTTGGTTATGTCTGCTGGTTAGAGAGGGAGTGAAATGTGAGCTTCTCTCATACCTGCCGATATGTCATCAATGGTTTTCATTAGTTTTTACTTGCCTAGTTATACTCATCTCATTGGTCTTGCAGGGGTTGAGCTTCAGCTCTTTGGTCCTCTCAACTGTCGTTCTACTGGTGTCCATATTCCTGAGTTTCTTGATCTCTGTCATTTCTACATTTGATATTGTTTATGGGGTCAGCCTCCACCACTTCACTGCCTCCTGCAGTCCATTTCCTTGCTACTCTGCCACTGCACAAGTTCTTTCTAATGTATCTGTAGCTCATTTGGGTACTCGGCTTCCACCTGTGTCCCCTGGTGAGTGTTCTGCCTGTGTTGGTTCATCCATCTTTGTTTGTATAGTATTCCCTCAGTCTTGTGTTCACAGACTGTGGTAATTCGGGTTGCTTTCATTATTTTTTTTTCATAACTTAATTTTCTGTAATATATTGGCTTGTTTGCATTGTTTTATGATTGGCACCAGTTTTGTTCCTAGCAAACTTGCACTGTAGGGTTGTCCGGCTTCCTCACCTGCGGCGCTCAATCTTTCAGCTGTATTGCGGCCATTTTAGCTGATGGGCTACATTTTATAAAAAAAAATCAAAGTTCTGTATCCACGCGCTAATCCGAACTATATGGGAAGGACCCCCAGCCGGATTATCACGTTTTCTGGATTAACGTACTTTTTCACCTTGAGTCCAAAAGGGAACATTTCCAACAATTGTTATACCAAAAGCATGATTTGAATTGACAGCCCCCCACACACTAATTAGTGTGTGGGGGCTGGGTGGGTGGTTAGCCGCCTAGTTGGTAGGTGGGCAGGCAGGCGGGTGGGTGGGTGGGCAGGCAGGGATAGGTGGGTTCAGGCAGGTGGGTTTTGGATGGGTGGATGGCAGGCAGATGGGCTTGGTGGGTGGGGTATCAGGCAGGTGGGTGAACAGGTGGGTGGGTAGGGTATCAGGCAGGTGGGTGAACAGGTGGGTGGGTGGACTATCAGGCAGGTGGGTGGGTGGGCTATCAGGCAGGTGGGTGAACAGGTGGGTGGGTGGGTGGGCTATCAGGCAGGTGGATGAACAGGTGGGTGGGTAGGTGGGTGGGTGAGCGGGCAGGTGGTTGAACAGGCAGGAGCTTAGCAAACAGATGTGGGCAGAGTTGTCTATTTTTTTTTGTGAGATTGGTAATGTGTTCAGATAAGATTTCATCTCTTGCAAGGTGTGCGGGGATATCATTTTGGCCTAGGAATTTAGGCTGTGCAAGAACTGTTGAGATTTGGCTAGTCACAACATTACTTGTGTGTTCATATGTCAGTTGACTCCCGTGTGTCATGCTTGTTAATGCTCTCTAACATTGTTTTATTTTGTGGCTCCTATTGAGTCACTTTGGACCCTCACCTTTCTTGTCCCTTGTGACAGAATAACTTAGGCTTTGTCCAGAGCACGAGTCATTCAACCAGGTGTCTGCTTGTGATCTCTTATGTGGAGGCTCACTCTAGCACCTTATTAGCTTCTTGTCAAGTCTATAGCATTGCAAGCAGGGAATCTCTGTCTATAATGGATTATAATTGTACTTGGTGCAGTGTATAAGGTGCTGTATTGTGCTCTTTAACACTGACAGACATCTCTGCTGTCCTCAGCACTATTGCTGGATTAAGGGTCATGTGTACTTTATAACTTACATACCTGTTTAGGAGATATGAAATCTGGGCTTACCATCAAATCATCCATCCAAGCCTGTTTTAAGTTATACATGACAAAAAGAGAGAGAACATAAATATGAGCCATCCGTAGTGTGCTGACTGGGTGAACCTTTCACTGTATATTTGTCCACTAACACAGTGTACATATTTATCTTCCCAAGTATTTTCTTGTGACCTTGGTTCTGGTACTTCTCTAAATATGTCCCTCTAAGAAATATTATAGAACACCCTAACATAGAAAGAAATGCAGATGACTACACACAGGAAGAAAGGTTTCACAAATAATAAAGTGCCCACAAATGTACCAAGAAAGGAAAGCAGACTACAGATAAATAACAGGGATATGGCAAAAATTTAAAGCACTTGTATCAGAATAAAGAGTTACAAGAACAGAAAGCTATCGAAGAAAGAGGGAAAAACAGATAATACTTCTTTACATACACAAAAATATACTGTATAAGAAGTTTAGCAAGTATAGGTCTTTTACTTACGAGAAAAGGTATTTACACTGAAGATTATAAAACATGAGTACAATCATTACAGAACAATATGGATCCAGGTTTAGCAATGCAAAGAAAAAGTTTATAGTAGAGAAGATGATCCTCTGAACATTTTCATGAACTCTGCCCACCCAGAAAGGTATATTTCGGATATTATAACAAATACCACAAATTTTTATGATATGAATAATACAGTATATACAAACACTGAGTTCTGTTACCAAATTCTTGACATTGATCTCGCACACTGTGAAAACCAGACGCCACTCAAACACTAAGGAGTGGTTACATAACTTTGCACATCATAAACCACAGCACTGCACACCTGTTCATATGACAACACTGTGGTGTACAAAAAATATACAAATCTTATTTTCTTTCTACTATTGTCATAATGATTATGGAAAACTAAAAATTTTCTGGGGGAGTCCATTGGCTCCCCGGAGCTATCCAGGCTGAATGGATATGTATAACTTTCTGGCATCAGTCAATGCATGGAGTTCTTGCCTACCAGGGACCACGAGCCAGAACCTGGTCCCCTCTAGAGAGGCACGAGGAACAATGGCCTATAGAGACCCCCCTTATGATTGTGAGCATTCTATGTCTGCCATCGATCAGGATAGGCACCCAGAAAGGGTAGGCGCCCCAAAACAAACTCCTATTCTGGTAAAACTATTGCGACCGAAGACCGAAGAAGTGGACAGAACTCCCCAAACGAAGACTAGCAAACGAGCATGACGTCATCACGTTGCCGCGCCGCTGTCTGCGCAACCCACCCCCCCTCCCCCAGGAGGGGAAAGGGGCAACTGCAGACCTAACCGCCGGCGACCCAACCCACAGTTCTTAGGCTGATGGGAGTCTGGTGCGGTCGTGCCTCTGGCTCTGGTGTTTTGTTACAGTTTTGTGCTTTGTGGTGTGAGCTGTCCTTTCCGGTTGTGCATGGGCCAGGAGTGATACTCTACGGTTCTCGGGCTGCATGCACCTAGGGTTTCCTTCCCTAGGTGCCCTGTAAGTACTGCCCTTGGGGCTTGGGGCCACCTTCCACAAGTCACCTCGGGATCTACCTCGGCTGTGCTGTTTATTGCTCGATAATTGGCTGCCCTTGGGGTCAGCTGGCGTTTTTGTTGCCCTTGTTTGTCTCCGGGTAGGGGGTAGTTTTCGTCACTGGCAGGGGCACAGGGTACTGCTCAGCTAGTTTTCACCAATAACAATGGCCGGCTCTGTTCCGCCTGGGTACGTTGTCCTCTTGCGGGGTTTTTCTTTGTTTTTGTTTTCTGCCTGGTGAGGGGGGGGTCTGCCCTATTGTCCCCCTTCTCTGTTCTTGGGGTTATTGTATCCATTTACCTTGTTTTGGTGGTCCACCCCGCCTTGGCCCCCGTGAGTGTACACGTCCTGGGGGTTCAGCTAGAGAAGTTTGTTGGTAGATTGGGCGCTGGTTCGTAGTACCCTGCCTGGGCTTCCCTTAGCATGTATCCAAGGCTAAGGGCTCTGGGAAACCCCACGGGGGGCTACGTGGTCCGATGGATGTGACCCCTGAGTTCCCCCTCGCTTCTTGCGAGTTTGAAGGTTGCTCTGTCCCCCTGTGTCTGGTGGACATTCACTGGTTTTGCCTCCGCCATGCTGCCTGTTGGGTTGGTGATTGTTTTGACCCAGAGTCGTGCGATGTGTGTTGTTTCCAGTTCACCCAGGCTATTGGGCCTGATACGCAGGTGCGGGTAGCTGAGGCGTTGCATGCTAGATTTAAGTTGCTGCAATGTGCTAGGTTGGTTGCTGCCCCGGATGCCCCGAGACTGTCATGTTTTAGTTATAGGGACCCGGACTTGGGGGTAGGAGTCGCTTCGGCTCTGGTTCCGTCCACCCAATGGGAGCCGGTCGGCCGAGCGGACAGCACGCTGGACTTGTGATCCTGTGGTCCTGGGTTCGACCCCAGGCGCCGGCGAGAAACAATGGGCAGAGTTTCTTTCACCCTATGCCCCTGTTACCTAGCAGTAAAATAGGTACCTGGGGGTTAGTCAGCTGTCACGGGCTGCTTCCTCTCTCAGGAACTACCTAACAGGAAGGAGCCAAAGAGTTACGGTAAGGGGCGAGAAGTCGGACTGGCGAACAGTAACAAGTGGAGTACCACAAGGATCGGTGCTGGGACCAATTCTATTTCTTGTATATGTTAACGACATGTTTACAGGCGTAGAGTCCTACATGTCGATGTTTGCGGATGATGCAAAGTTGATGAGAAGAGTTGTGACAGATGAGGATTGCAGGATCCTCCAAGAGGACCTGAACAGATTGCAGAGATGGTCAGAGAAATGGCTACTAGAATTCAACACGAGCAAATGTAAAGTTATGGAAATGGGACTAGGAGATAGGAGACCAAAGGGACAGTACACAATGAAGGGGAACAGCCTACCTGTAACGACGCGTGAAAGAGACCTGGGGGTGGACGTAACACCTAATCTATCTCCTGAGGCACATATTAATAGGATAACGACAGCAGCGTACTCTACACTGGCAAAAGTTAGAACATCATTCAGAAACCTAAGTAAGGAGGCATTTAGGGCGCTTTACACTGCCTACGTAAGGCCAGTCTTAGAGTATGCCGCCTCATCATGGAGTCCCCATCTGAAGAAGCATATAATGAAACTGGAAAAGGTTCAGAGGTTTGCAACGAGACTCGTCCCAGAGCTACGAGGGATGGGGTATGAAGAGCGCCTGAGGGAACTGTGCCTTACGACACTAGAAAGAAGAAGGGAGAGGGGGGACATGATAGGAACGTATAAGATACTCAGAGGAATTGACAGAGTGGACATAGACGAAATGTTCACACGGAATAGTAACAGAACGAGAGGACATGGATGGAAGCTTGAAACTCAGATGAGTCACAGAGATGTTAGGAAGTTTTCTTTTAGCGTGAGAGTAGTGGGGAAATGGAATGCACTTCAGGAACAGGTTGTGGAAGCAAATACTATTCACAATTTTAAAACCAGGTATGATAGGGAAATAGGACAGGAGTCATTGCTGTAAACAACCGATGCTCGAAAGGCGGGATCCAAGAGTCAATGCTCGATCCTGCAGACACAACTAGGTGAGTACAACTAGGTGAGTACACACACACACACACACACACTCTCTCTCTCTCTCTCTCTCTTTTACTCTCTTACTCTCACTCTCACTCTCTCTCTCACTCACTCACTCTCTCACTCACTCACTCACTCACTCACTCTCTCACTCACTCACTCACTCTCTCACTCACACTCACTCACTCACTCTCACTCACTCACTCACTCACTCACTCTCACACTCACTCTCACACTCACTCTCACACTCTCTCACTCTCACTCTCTCACTCTCTCACTCTCACTCTCTCACTCTCTCACTCTCACTCTCTCACTCTCTCACTCTCACTCACTCTCTCACTCTCACTCACTCTCTCACTCTCTCACTCTCTTCATATTTACAATGATTAATTAACCTATCAATGGTATAGGTTAAGTAATAATTGTAATTAAGAAGCAATAAGATGCTTATCTTAACATACTAAGAATGTTAGGTGAGGTCGGTGTTTTCTATGAAGCTTTTCAAGGTAAACTAAAATATTCACAATCAATTAGTATGTCACATATGCACTTATTAAATAAGCCAATATTGACTGTAAGCAAGTGCGAGAACGGGTTGCCCAGGTAAGTCCCTCTTTTACTTATCTATGAGTAGTTAGCTTCAAGGAGCTGACAGGGACTTCTCACAGAAAATCAGTCTTGCATGTAATGAAACACCATTTTCAGGGCAAGCCCTGGAGGCTCCCTGAACTTCCTCTGGTTGGCAGTTTTTTCATTACTACAAAGTGAAAAGGTGGGGGTGTGGCTCGCCTGAGTGAGCTCCTCCTCCAGCCCCCCCTTCCGGAGGGGGAGGGGGAGAGGCACAAACGAGCAGGCGTACTCATTGGATGACTGTTTGGTTGTTTGTTTTCTTTGGGGGGGGGGGGATTCTTTGGCTCTGTTCAAATGTAGGTTGCAATTTTTACCAGTTGGGGGTTTGTATTGTTTCATCTATCTGAGTGCTCTCCTCAGTCAATTGCAAACATGACATACTCTAAATTTAGAATGCTCGTAATGGTCATTGCTCCCGACACCTCTCTGAGGGGACCAGGTTCAGGCTCGTGGCCTCCAGTAGGCACAGAATTCCCGTGACTAAAGACCCTTAACTAATACAGCACATGTTAGCTTCAGGGAGTCTCCGGGCTCACCCAGAAAATGGCGTTTTATTACATTCAATGCTTTTTTTTTTTTTTTTAATTATTTTACATTTAAGATAAATAGTTGAACTGTGTACAAAGTTAAGCAGTATCGGGTGCTCTTCAGATGTGTTTTTATTTATTGGTTTTATGACTTGAATGTGCAAAAGTAGGAAATATATATAACTAATTTTTAATATTAGGGTTTTGTTGTTTCTCATTACCCATCTTTTCATTTATTACAAATTGAGTTAATAACTTGGTGTGAAGTTTTCTGTGTTTAATCAGTAACTAATTGCATGTTTATAATTATGTTTTACCATGTCTAATTTGTTGATTTTAACCTAACCATTTTAATCAGTTATTTTTATTAGGCATTTTTTTGGTTTATAAGTTAAATGTTTTTTCTGTTCAGAGAGACAGAAGACTAAGTTTGCCATTTCTCATTTGTGAGCAGCAATGTAGAACATGGGTGTGAGCACCGGCACGTAGTACATATGGACATTCCCGTGTGCAGTCGTGGGTAGGCTATTACTGTGTTTTAGTAGTAGTTGATGTTGGGGACTCCACCCTAGTCCTGGTAACTGTTTACAACTGTAGCCACTTCAGGTTAGAATGTCTTTCTTCACTTCAATTCACTTTATGCACACAAGCTTCTCTAAACCAGTAGGTTATGTTGTCGAGCTTATAGTTATTGCCGTCTGGCTCACAGCTTTGGTACTTAGTTGTTTCAAGAATATTAAAATATGAAGCATGTGTAATAAATTAGTATTAACACTGTTTGAATGTTTGAAGTCAATGTGAGTGTTTTCCTTGTTATGTGACATGTAACTGGTTGTCACAGTACATGAGGTTCTCTAATGGAAGATGATGATTTAGCCTTGATGATAAAACACACATACAAAGCTTACAGCATAGTGCTGACTTGACATGAATCTACATGAGCAAGTATTATGTTTTTTCCAGTACTCTTGTCATAATGTGAGTTTTATGACCATTTGTATTATTTCTATATGAATAACAGGTTCATGTTTATAAAAAATTATGATGGCTTAGGTGCTTGCAGTATTTATATCAAGCTTCTCGCCCTGTGCTCAAGTTGTAGCTTCTTCATTACTAACTGTGTGTGTGTGTGCATGGTAATGCAGGCACAGTGGCACTGTGTCTCACCTCTCAGGTGGTCAGGTGGCACTGTGCATCACCTCTCAGGTGGTCAGAGTGGCACTGTCTCTCACCTCTCAGGTGGTCAGTGGCACTGTGCCTCACCTGTCAGGTGGTCATGTCTAACTTCTCAGTTGGTTAGGTGGCACTGTGTCTCACCTCTCAGGTGGTCAGTGGCACTGTGCCTCACCTCTCAGGTGGTCAGGTGGTACTGTCTCACCTCTTGTTTAGTCTGAGTGGCCCTGTGCATCACCTGTCACCTAGTGGTACATTGTACCTGCTTTAACTATATATATGGACTTTGCTTCATTTTGATTTTGCAATCAATTTTCTCCATTCTTGTATAATGTAGCATTGATTGTGTTGTTCCACTGTAGATTAACACAAGCACATGGTTCCAATAGTTCACTGTCATTTGTCATTGAGTTATGGGGGAAGAGTTTAATGAAGGCTGATGCTTATGTGCAAGACCCACAACTTTACATTATAGAAATAATGGATATTGATACTATTGATACCAAATGTTTGTTTTGATAAATTTTGTCTTTATTCTTCTACCTCTCTTTTGTATATTTAGTTCCACAGTTGTTATGTTTGCATTTTGATAAAGCAATAAATTTACTAATATACAGTATATAAGTATATGTAAAATATGTATAATATGTATGATTTTTAATTCCCTTGTTCATGCCTTGGCATCTTATAAATGTATACTGTTCAGCATGTGTGCCTGCGTGCATGTGTGTGTGTGTGAGAGTATGTGTGTAATTATGTTCTTACCTAAGTGTAGTTACATGTTGAGAGCTACACGCGTGGTGTCCCTTCTTCCCAGTTCTCTTTGTCATAAAACGATTTGAAACTACTGACGGTTTTGGCCTCCACCACCTTCTCACGTAGCTTGTTCCAACTACTTACCACTCTGTGAAAGAAGACTTTCTAATATTTTTTTGGCACCTTAGCGTGAATCTGTGTCCTCTTGTTCTTGAAGTTGTGAGTTTCAGGAATTTCCCTTTGTCAGTTTGGTCGATTCCTGTTAGTATTTTGTAAGTGGTGATCATATCACCTCTTTTATCTTCTATCTTCTAGCTTTGGCATATTTAATGCCTATAGTCTTTGTGACTCTTGTTTTTGAGTTTCGGAAGTCATTTTGTACATATCTTTACATATTTTCCAGTTTATTAATGTGTTTCTTTGAGATATGGGCACCATACAACTGCTGCATATTCCAGTTTTGCTCTCACAGAGGTCATGAACAGTTTCTTTAGTATTTCATCATCCATGTAATTAAAAAGAGAGTCTGAAGTTGGAAAGAGATGCATATGCTCCTTGCACAATGTTCTTTGTGTTCCACAGGTGAATGTTTACTATCCAAAATCACCCCTAGATCTCGTTGTTTTATTGGTGTTCTGTAATTCCTTTCCACATACTTTGTAAGTTTTGTGTTGTTTATTTTGTCAGATTCCACATTCCATAACATGGCATGTGTGTTGTGTATTCACCTAGTTGTATTCACTTAGTTGTGCTTGTGGGGGTTGAGCTCTGCTCTTTCAGCCCACCTCTTGACTGTCAATCACCTGTTACTATTTTTTCTGGGGGTAGGGGGAAGCCCCTCCTCTCCCCTCCCCTGAGCTTATTGGGCTGATATGCTAATGTCAGACTTTGGCATCAGTCATGTGTATGGAGTTCTGTGGGCCTTCCAGGGACCACAAGCCAGAACCTGGCCCCCTCAGAGAGGCAAGGGAAGCAATGGCCTGTAGACACCCCCGTGTGGTTGGAAGCATTCTGTGTCTGCCATTGACCTGGTCAGGCATCCAAAAAGGTAAGCATTCCAAAACAAACCCTATTTTGGTGAAAATATTGCTACCAAAAGCCGAACAAGTGGATAACACTCCCCTAAAAGAAACGAGCAAACGAGCATGATGTCACACATCGCTGGTTCTTCTCTGGTGGTGCCCCCTGTTAGGTCCCTGTGAGTGTACACATCCCTGGGGTTCAGCTTTAGTGACTTTGCTTGGTAGTTTTGGACACCAGTTAGCCTGGGAATCCCCTTGGGGGCACGTAGGTCCGATGGATGTAACCCCGGAGTCCCCCTCCTTTTGTGCGAGTTAGAGGGTTGTTCAGTCCCCTTGTCTCAGGGTGACCCTCACTGTTTTTGCCTCCGTCACACAGCCTGTTGGGTCGGAGACACTTTCGACCCTGAGTCCTGTGAGTTCTGTTGCTTGCTAGTGACTCAATTTACCCAGTCTAGTGATGATCTTATTTGGGTACAGGCAGCGCAGGCGTTGCATGCGTGATTTAGGTTGTTGCAACGTGCTCGGTTGGTTGCTCACCCGAATACCTCGAGGCAGCCCCGTTTTGCTTATAGGGACCCGGCCTTGGGGGTGGGGGTCACTTTGACCTTGGTTCAGTCTGCCCCCCCTCGTCCTTTCTCTCCTGTGGTTGATTCTGGTCCCCCCCCCCCTTTCCCTGCTTCTGGCCCCGAAGCGTCTGAAAGTTTCAGAGCCAGAGCAGGGTTTAGATGGTCTTGAGGCTCAGGCAGCCTCGGGAGATGCCCTTTCCAGTTTGGGGACTTAGGCATTTGAGTCTAGTCTCCCTGCTGAAGCCACTGGGTCTGACCAGTGGCCCCCCTTCCGTTCGGCTTACACGGCTGCGCCGGTCTTACCTTTTGAGGCTGGTGCTTTGGGAGATGACTCGGCCCCGGGTCCTGTGGAGGAGGATCCCGGGGTGGGGGAGGGGCTGACTTGGGGGCCTTTGGCTCCACTGGACCCCGCCTGAGTTTTTCTACCCCTCTGAGCGGGGCTTGTTATTACAAGGAGTGGGGTTCTCTTTTCCCCTCTCTGCGTATGAATTGGATTTGGTGTCTGCCCCTCCCCTGGTTCGGTTCTGTGTCCTCCTGGGTTCGGTTCTGTGTCCCCCCGGGTGCATCTGTTCTGTCCTTCCGGAGGTTTTCGGCTTCTTGCATCCAACCTTCTGTGGTCCGGGCAGCCCTTGCAGCTTACCTCCTGTGTGACCCAGATTATGCCTCGGCGATTGATCCGTCTTTTTTCAGGTTTGGGACTTCGTTCCCTTTCTGGATCCGTTACAAGGTTCCTGAGTCATCCTGGCTGGCGGATTGTCCTGTCTTTGCTTTGGAGGCTTGGCATTCTTTCTGCCATACCCGCACCCTTGAGTGGAACAAGGCTGCAACGGTGGTTCAGGTTTTCCTGGAGGGCGACCTGGAGCACCTCAGTGAGTGCTTGTTTGCCCCTGCCCTTTCCTGGCATGTGGGCGTAGTGCAGCTCCATGTGCAGGTTCCCTCCATCATGACTGTGCAGGTTGCTGAGGACATGTGCGCCCGTGGCCTTTTGGCTTCGGCCTTGCATTTCTTTTCCTTGCTGGAGCTGTCTTCGGACTGGCTTGACGAGAATGTAGGGATGCTCGGGGCCATCCCTGGGTCTGGTGGTTTGGGCTCGGCAGCCTGCTCATCGACTGCTTTGCTAAAGCTGTTTGCGCCAATCCTGCGTGATGCAGTTTCCCTGTTCTATGCTCCCCAGCTCGCGTGTCGGCAGGCGGTGCTTGCCTCCTTCCTCGGAAACAGATTCTCGAAAAATTAAAAGGAAATGTGTGAAACATTAAATGAAAAGTTCCAAAGTGTGTTTGTACAAAATGAAATCGTCAGAGAACCAGACACAATAAGAATTCCAGAAAACAACATAGAGCGGATAGGGGTGTCTAGAGATGAAGAGGAAAATATGCTAAAGGAGCTCAGTAAGAACAAAGCAGCTGGCCCAGATGGAGTTTCACTAGGGGTTCTGAGAGAATGTGCATCTGAGCTCAGTATTCCACTTCACCTGGTCTTTCAGGCATCCCTGTGTACAGGAGTCATAGCAAACATGTGGAAACAGGCTAGCATATTTCCAATCTACAAAAGTGGCAGCAGGGAAGACCCCCCCCCTCAATTATAGACCTGTATCATTGATAAGTGTAATAGTGAAAGTATTGGAAAAACTAATCAAAACTAAATGGGTAGAACACTTGGAGAGAAATGATATAATATCAGACAGACAGTATAGTTTTTGATCTGGAAGATCCTGTGTATCGAATTTACTCAGTTTCTATGATCGAGCCACAGAGATTTTACAGGAAAGAGATGGTTGGGTTGACTGCATCTATCTGGACCTAAAAAGGGCTTTCGACAGAGTTCCACACAAGAGGTTGTTCTGGAAACTAGAAAATATTGGAGGTGACAGGTAAGCTTCTAACATGGATGAAAAATTTTCTGACTGATAGAAAAATGAGGGCAGTAATCAGAGGTAATGTATCGTACTGGAGAAATGTCACAAGTGGAGTACCACAGGGTTCAGTTCTTGCATCAGTGATGTT